CATTGCCCTTCCCTCTGAGAGCAAGGTAGAGCCTGTTTTCATATTAGACCTCATTCTTTTCTTCCTGGCTTTGACAAGCAGATATTATTTATCCTAAGGAGTTGCTCCTCAGGCTGAGACCAGACTCAGGCATGGAGCACAGTATGGCAAAGCAGCACCATGAAAGTACATCCCAGGGGGGCCAGTCCTGAATATAGCAAACCCACCACCCACGGACAGCCAACAATCCACCCGGCCTGACAAGAAGTCATCTGCCATTCAGTGACTCCATCACCTGCAGAAGCTAAGGCCCAGCCAGTTTTGCTTTGGCAGGATCCATCCACACCCTGAAATAAGGCACAACAGAATATGAAATCCAGATGACAGGAGGACACACTTCTGCTATCACATTGCACAATTTTAAGCTGGACTTGTGGTTGGCTTGTGTCAAGCACACAGGCCAACTTGCAGGTTGAGGACATATTTAAGACCATGAACTCTGCTGATTTTACTAGACAAAGATCTGTCCCCTTCCACACTATTGATCCTTCCCCAAAATTATATACTGTATATAATAATTTCATACATTTCTGCACACATACCTTGAGATATAGTTATTATAGCATACCATTACATTTTTGCAATATTTTAAAAGTAGGCAACCAGTCTGTATGACATGGGTTTTATGGGGGTTTTATTTTGGAGGAAGTAATTTGGTAAGCGTAAAGTGATAGTTAGGCTGATGGAAAGCCAGCCTGACATATGTGAACATTTTTCAAATAGGAGATAACTGTAGGTGGGGAAGACAAACCTTTTACCTTTACAAGGTTTTAAAAAAACTTTAAACATGATGTTTTAAGAAGCATCCAACTGATGGGAATTTTTATGGAAATTTTAATAGCCATTAATGAAAACATCTATTTTTCTATTGCAAGTCTGGGCAGTGTTAACCCAGCCATTAGCTACAGCTACATCCTACAAATTAGGCTCGTACTGGTTTCATGGGCCACAGCAGCTCCTTCATACCACACATACTCCACCTCCCTGAGATTTGCCCCCTTTACAGCAGCAAAACACATCTCTATCTCCAGCACATTGACAATGAGCCTCAGCCCAGCCCAGACCCCCTTTGCTCCCGTAGCAACAGCCAGCATTTTTCCAAGACCATCAAGCCCAGTTACAGACAAATCTCAAGCCATAATTTCCCCAAACTGTCCACAACTGAACAGGTCCAACCCTTTTCCCTGCTGCTGTGGAGCTCTCCTATGCCAAAATCCCAAACTAAAAGAAAGGATTTTGCCTTTCCACATCATCCACACAGAAGCTGGGTTTGGAGACAACTACCTAAAAAATTATTCTTAGCCAACATTAAAAAATTATAGTTATCACCCTTGTGCTTTGCAAGAGTTAAAGAACACACAAATACCACAGTCTCAACAAAGAAATCCCTCAGCACATACTTTTCTTTCTTCAAAAGAGCAAGGGCTTTAGAAACAGAGCCAAACCTGCACATGAGCACCTACCCTGCTGTCCTTCACAAGATCATCTCAAATCAAGCCAGGCAGCTTCCTAGAGCACATCTTCCCACCTCCTCCCAAACCTAGGCAACAGGTGAATCCTGCTTTTATAGGTTTTACCCTCCCTCCTGCAACACCTTCACCTGGTGACTCACTAATTACATCCCAAATCAGCAAGCAGGTACAGCTGAGATTCTTCTACTGGAAGAGCAGACCTTACAGCTCAACAGACCTTATTTAATTCTCCACGGAAAGCCTTCTCCTACGTGTTAGACACATCTCCATCCTTCTTTCTGTGCTTTTCCAGCTCACATTTGAGGCAATCTGTTGCCAGATAAAGGCTCAGAGAGGTTTTGTAATCAAAATGTTTTTGTCAAGAGAAAATTGAGCCTGTGCAGTGATTAAAAATAAGTCCCCATTTTGGGAACCAAGGGGAAAAGCTCAGCTGCAGGATGACCAAGAACACAGGTCAGGCAGACTGCCCAGCACCCTGTCCCAAGACACGAATGGGTGACTGGAACAAACTGGACACTGCTGGGCTGGGGCTGCTGGGAGTTTTGCAGCAGTTGCTGTTCATGGGGTTGAGTGCCATGCTCTTCTGTCCCAAATTAGCGCAAAACCCCAAACCAACCCAAGAAATCCTGGCTGTTTCTAAGAGACTGCAACTTGCAAAATAAAAATCAAAAGTTTTCTTCATGCAGTCACACCATATTGGAATATTATTTTTCTGCAGGCTGGATTCTGAAAGCATTTTATAGCACAGGGACAGTAAAGCAGTGACTGATGAAGGGCAGGAAGGAGAACGCCTTGTTTTGAACATCTCTGACAATGATTTGTGGATCCCCATCCCCAATTCGGTGGCATCAGCACATATTTGTGGAACGTCTTGGTGTCAGGGAGCTGTGATGAGAGCAACTCCTATTGGGAAATACCACCCATACCTTTTAGGCAACCCTAATATGGAGTTGCCCATGGCCCTGCCATGGAGGGTTGGGCTTCATGGTGGAGTGACAGTCCAGGTGAGATCATTTACGGGGTAACCTGGCCTGCAGAAATGCTTTCCCACTCCTGAAGTCCCCCTGCCCCAGGGCAGAACGAATGTCTCCCAGCCATGGTCTGCTCAGTGAGCTGAGATGGCAACCAGGGATGTGAAGGTACCGACAAGGTCTGCAGGGCATTTTAAGCGAAGAGCTCATGCATTCAGGAAAACGTTTTGCTAGTAACTTGGCTGTCCTGGCTTCTCCATCTCTCCTGCAATGCTAAGAGCATAGAAACACTGTGGGCAGGTGTAAACAGGAAGCAGAGTTTTCTGGTGGTACAAACACACATGAGCCCACGCAGAGCGCTGGAAAACATGCAAAACACTTATCTTTTTCTCTTTTTCCCCATCCTTTCTGTAAGATCCCTCCTTGTTCTAAAGAAAGTTGCCTGGTGTCTGGCCTCCCTTTTTCTTTTGTCTTTTTGGCTGGGAGTCATCTCCACTGCCTACAGATGTCTACAGGTTGGTTCTTCACAGCTGAGCTAGTCCTGCACAGTCCTGCTGTGCTCAGTGGAGAGCCCCAGCAAGCCCCTCACTGCCACCTCGGGTGGGAGCCAGAGATAGATGTGTCACCTTCCAGATGCACCAATCTCTGTCTGTTGGACATGGAGGACCCCCAAGTGCCAGTTTAGTCCCATACCAGAGAACAGTTGACATTAGAGGACCAAAGAGCAGAAGCTTCCCCCATGGTCTCGCTCAACAACACCCAACACCCTGCTGACTCTGGAGATGATCCAAACCCTTCCCTCCCCAAGTCAAGGGGACACCCCAGGCAAGAAAAGACCAGGCTTTTTGTTTGTTTGTTTGTTTTTTCAGAGATTTTTTTGTATTTTTAATTTCATCTTGGTATGCGATTACTGACAGTGTGTCAGCATCTCCTGCTGGGTCAGCCATCTCCGGCCCCCGCTACATTCAGTGTCAGATTGTACGGTGGCAATGAGCCAGTGTTTTGAGCCTCACAGTCACTTGCATGTCTTTACGGGTTGTTGCTTACATCGTTTGTGAACAGCAGCACAAAAGGACACAACGCATGAAAACGAGAGTGGGGATGAGGTGAGGGTCGGCTGAAGGCTCAGCCCCAAGAAGAACTTCCCCCAGGTTCCCACGGCTCCTGCAGCGATGAACCCGAGCCCATGGTGGGAAACGCAGGGCTCTCCCTCCTTTCTCCTTTGCCCGAGGAGTGGTGATACGGGCTGCGGTGTTTTCCAGAGCCAGGACAGCAGTTCACACTGGTCTAGCACCCGTATTTGAGGGTACGGGAGGGGCTTGCTGGTGGAGGCAGGCTGGGTCCTGCTGTGGGAAGGAGAGAGGTGATGCAGAGAAGCATGGCTAAGCCCCAATGGGCCGGGATGTCCACCAGCTCCAGCAGCGTTGCCCACCCCGCACTGACCTCCCGGACACGTCCAGCAGTGGGGACAGGACCTGGCCACCATGCTGTCCCCATCAATCTGCTGGCGGAGGAGCCGCTCCCTGGAGCCAGCCTTGCTTTGGGATTCGACTGCACCTCAGAACCAGTGGGGCAACATGAGAGCACCAAAAACAACCAACCCCCAAACCCAAACCTGTCGCCTGAAATGAACTGATGTTCCTTCCCTGCCACTGGGCTTTTGCAACCTAAACATAACATTTATAAAAAGTAAATTATCTCATCTTATAACTTAAGTGCATTGAGTATTTCCTTAAATATGGTTCACGCTGAAAATAAAGTTACTTTTGCTGTACAGTAAATTTCTGATAGACTTAGAAATAAACTTTGTGGATACAATCTGGCAGGTGCGGCCGCGCAGTGCATCACCCACAGCCACACGGCTCTGCACACACGCACGTGCGTGCCCACACACACTCACACACACACACACACAGCCCCGGCCTCGGGGATGGGGACGATGTTAGGGGTTCCTAGCTTTCTATATTCGCACGGGAACATCTAGCTTAAAAGTCCCTGTCTGAACAGTGAGCGCTCAAGCTGGTCGAGGGAACAGAGGGGAAAATCCCGCAGTGAAATTTTCCCCATGCTTCCCCAAAGTGTTGTCAACTTTTCAAATTTCAAAGCCCGGCTGAGGCTGTGTTCTCCCCGCGAAGATCAGCAGTTTGCTCTTTCCACCGCTTGGACCAAAGATGGTGCAGAGGGGATACGGCACCGGGATGCTCCCGTGGGAAGGGTTTCCTCCTCCCCTTGACTTCCCCCTGCAGAAATGAGAAATTTGGTTCCCTGTTTGAAATCTGAAAACCCATCAGCCAGCTGCGAAAACCGCTCCTGTCCCTAATCCTAGGCTCCTAAGAGAAACATGAAACTAAGCAACCCATAACTGAACTCGGTCCTTGGGAATCCCAAGCTACAACGTCTTGTGTGACAGCATCCCAGCAGTGCCGCTTCCCCCTCCCTCCCAACCCCGGGGGCTCTGCGGCCCCTCCCGAGGCAGCGCGGTGGCATCGGCTGCCCCGTGCCAGGGATCACGCCGCGCTCAGGAGGTGAAGTAGGAGTTCTGCATGGAGTAGAGGTGGTCGATGGGGTTCCCCACTCGCGCCTGGAGTGGCCCCGCGTCCGCCGTAGCAAGGAAGCAGTCGCCCAGGTTGCTCAGTGAGGTATCATCGCTATCCAAGTCGTGGAAGAGGGGTTCGGCACCTTTGGAAGCAGAGAAAGAGTAAAAGGGATTCAGAGCCCGCTTGGACAGTGCCAGGTACCCTCAGCTTTTGCAGCGTAAGGATTTCAGGGAGAGGGGGCTGCTGCCTTCCCAGAAATCGCTGCACCCCCCAAGCATGCCCCCTGCCACACAGCCCCCCCAGCACAGACCAGCATCCCTTCGAAGGAGAGAAGGCAACGGGCAAACCCCGGAGCCCTACCGTAGGGGTGCATGTGGTCTCCGGGCATCTGCGGCGGGGTGAGCCCTTGCCGGAAGGGGTCAGAGCCGTAGACGCTTTGCTCCATGCCCAGCAGCTGCTGGGGTGGGGGCAGAGCCGTGTAGGGGTTCAGCATACCCTCCAGCCCCGCGCTGCTGCCGCTGTTAGTCTGGGCTGGAAGATAACAGCAAGCTGTCAGCACACTCGGGCTGCTGGTTTTCGGGGGGCTCAGCTCCCTTGGGAAGTCCGGAGAGGGCTGGGAAGCAGGCAGACCCTGAGCGCGGGGAGGGCTGGGTGCGAGGGGTGTACCTGAGCTCAGGTGCTGTGTGTTTTGCTGATCCTGCTGCTGCTGCTGCTGCCTCCTGGCGAGCTTCTTCATCTGGGTGAGAAGAAGGGGAAGAAAACGGGGTGAAATCATCCTCCAGCCGGAGTGAGGAGGGAGAGGGGCGGCACTGGCCACTGGCAGGGGGCTACCCCTTGCACCCACCTTTGCTCGCTGGTTCTGGAACCAGACCTGCACCACGCGGACGCTCAGCCCCGTCTCAGCCGCCAGCGTCTCCCGCACCTTGGAGAGAGGAATGACAGTGGTGCCTCAGCCCCCTCAGCTTTTCTGGAGGACTTTAGGAGGGGACAGAGCAGCCGGGGCAAGTCCTTGTCCGGCATCCAGGACTTCCCCAGGGCTGGAGGCAGCTGAGCATGGGCCCTTCTCCCCATACCTTCCTGCAGGGCTTGGAGGAGACCTCAAATGATGCCTTGAATGCCCTCCGCTGCTGCGTAGTCAGGATTGTCCGGGGTCTCTTGGGCCGCTTGTGATCCTTCCCGTCCTCGGCCCCCTTCCCCGAGCCTTGGCCCAGTTTGCAGATGCTGTCCTCATCATCACTTTTGCCTAAGGGGTGGAAAAAAGAGCAGGTCCTTTACAGAAAACAGGCAGCGCACATCGTTTTCCAGCATTCGGGACATGGTTTAGCAGGCATGGTGGTGTTGGGTCGAGCATTGGACTTGAAGATCTTAGAGGTCTTTTCCAACCTTAATGATTCTATGATTACATGATTCTATATCAAAACTAAGCTGGGGGACTTCCACCAAGCTAGTGTTGGCGGGGGTCTTCTTGTGAGGAGCTGAGGTTTGGGGCTGGCTCCCAGCTCAGAGACGGGGGAGAGGGGGAGAGCTGCTGTGGCTCATAGTTTGGGGTCACTCAGCCAGAAGATGTGCTTTTTGGTTCTTCTATTCCCCAACAGTCTGAGCAGCTGCAATGTGAAACCCTGGGATGCCTGTTTTTCCCTCCATCAGACCCAAATCCCTGCTTGCTCCACAGAGGTTTCCTGCCAGCCCACAGCTGGGGACACGTCCGGACAGAGACACACAGGTCGCATCCACACGAGGGGACAGCAGCCATGGAGGATAGCTGTGCCCCTGAGACCAGGCGTCTGGTCCCTCTGCCCCGACAGCCCAGGATGGGGGAGCTCGGGGCGCAGGGTGAGCAGAGATGCTCAGAGAGGGCAATGTGTTGGCCAAGACCTCACAAACCCCTCCTGATTTGCCCTGCCATGGAGATCAACTCCATTTAGAGCACAGACCTTTAATCACGAATATAAGGGGCATCTTTTCGCCTATATTTCCCCCCTTCTGTGGAGTTTCATATCTCCCTGGCCAGAAGCCCAGGCTGCTTCAAGCTTCACCCCTCGGGTACTCGCTGCAACGTGCGGCTCCGTTGCGTTCCTCAGGCTCTGGTGTGTATCTCCGTGCTGCTCTCCACCCCTCGGGGCCGCAGGGTCTTTGGGCAGGAGCTGCTCTGAGAAAGCAGGCAGCGCTGCCCTGCCTCTGACCAGCCCTCCTCGTTTACCGTATCACCCCTGTGTCCATGACCTCGCTTGCGTGGGAGGGCTGTAATGCAGGCTTGACCGCGCAGGCCCTTCCCTCTCATGAGCCGTAAATCACTTACAGCCTTTTCCAGAAAGCTCCTCCGCCGTCCGTTTGGGAATCGATAACGGACCTGAGGTGCTGGTTCGATGCAGACGCAGGCTGCGAGGCTGTGCTTGGCCCGAGTCCCGTCCCAGGGCTGCCGTGTCTCCGGGAGATGGGGATGCACCAGCGGGTTTTGAGCATTGCCCGGAGTTCATGGCTAAAGCAGGTCAGGTCGTACCCCATGGCAAGAGTTAATCATGGATCACACACATCAGAAAAGTGTAAATCCAGCGTCAGCCCAGCTGGGAAAGATGGGAGCAGATCTCCGAGGTGAGCGGAGGCAATGATCCCAGCAGAAGAGCAAGGATGCTCTCAGGTACCAGCTACCCTTCCCTCTGTGCTGCTGGGGTCTCTCCTGGGCTCACCAGCCGATACAGAGACCTTACCCTGTGGCAAGAGCTGGGACAGCTGGGACACAGAGAGATGTCCACACTGGTGCTCCTAAAACCAGCCCGGAGCTGGGTGCTGGCCCCCGGGAGCCAGCACCACCCTGCTGATGCCACTCACCCGCAGCACGTCCATAGCCTGCCAACAGCAGCAATGGCAACGGGAAAGACAAACTTCTTGCATGCCCCAGTGCGAGGGAAGCAGTAATGCAGTGAGTCTGAGAGCCCCAGCACTGGGGACCCAAGGGTGTGGAGTCTCTGATGGCTAATGGGGCTGAG